GGTGCAGGAGTGGGAGAGGGTGAGGGGTCTGATGGAGAAGGGGCGATGTATGGAGGAGGAATCGATGGCCGTGGTGATGGAGAAGGAGCTACGGAGGGGGGTGGAGAGATCGACGACAGCGGAGATGGAGTAGGTGCATAAGATGGCTTTCTCAAAGGAGACGGGGCACCGGACGGGGGAGAGGAGATCGTTGACCGTGGCGAGGGTGCAGGTGCAACTCCTGTAGGTGAAGGAGGAATATGTGACACTGGTGATGGTGAAGGTGCACGGCGTCCCTTCGACGGAGGTTCAGACGGCATCGGCGACCGTGGCGTTGCAGCGGGCACACGTCCAATTGGTGGCTGCATAAGTGGGACAAAACTAACCAGTAAATCTAGAACACTGGGTTAAGTTATGATTTTGTGCAAACAAATCTACTGACGATGACATTGTTCTTCATATTGTCATGTTGGTGTTGTGGCATCACGGATGGAAACTCGTCTTCTGGTTTCAGAGGGGAAGTTGATGTGCTTAATATGAAGCTATGTTTTAAGTTTCATAGAAAACTAACGAGCATGAGCCATAAAGTAAATAGATCTAATAATAAACATGAACAAAACTTAGCAGCAGATTACCAATAACAGGATAATAATATAATTTAAAATTAATAATTTAACTAGGATAAACTGCATAAAAATATTAATTGATTAACTAAAACTGCTTAACATTGAATAAAAACCGTATAACAATATCAATGGAATATATAAGATTGCTTCTACGCTTGCGTATAAATATCACTTAGATTGTTGGTGGTTGGACGTTTTAAAGTTATGAAAAAAAGTAAAACATAGCATGATTGTAAGACTTAAACAACAGTAGGGCGCATCTCTAGCGCTAGCGAGAGGACCATTACACAGTTTTCAGATTAACAGTTTAGTTTTGAACAATATAAAGAAGAGAGGCAGCGTACCATAGGTTTTGGAGACGGTGATGGTGCCGGTGATGATGATGTTGATGGAGAGGAGTTACAAGGACAACAATCTGAATACCAACTCAATAACAGTCTCGGAGGCTTATCGGCTCTGTCATCACTTCCAGTACAAGGGCAACAATGGTGGTGGTGGTGGCGGTGGTGGTGGTGAGGATGACGATGACGATGGTGATGATGATGTCGATGATGAGGATGATGACGACGAGGGTGATGGTGCTTCGTCCAATGTGAAACAGAAGCATCAGATGCTGGTGTTTCGGCGTTTGCGAACACAGTCATGCCCATCATCATCATCATCATCAAAATCACGATGGCAATAGCTTTGTTAGAAAAGGACTTGAAGAAAGCCATGATGCTCTCTCTCTCTCTCTCTCTCTCTCTCTCTCTCTCTCTCTCTCGGATGCTGAGTAATCTCTTTGAGATTTATGATTTCTCAAAGAGATCTCACGATTGCATTATGAAGAATTGAGGGGCGATGGCAGCCCTATATATAGAGGGAATTGAGAGGGATATCTAATCAAGTCGGAGTAGGAGCTTTTGTCTGATAAGAATTCTGTCCAAGTAAAATAAGAAGAGTTATGGTAGGATTTACACTCCTATATGTAGTAATTGTAAGATTAATTTCTTGTCCGATTCATCATAGGAGATGACCGTTTAATTAAACTAAACGTACATCCAAGTATTCGTGAATTAGGATTAGGAGGGTGATTAGGATTAATAGATGATCAGAGAAGGAGAAGGAATTTGACTAGAACTGGAAGATGCTCAAGAATTCAGACAATGGAAAAGTTAGAACCAAACCCGAAAACTGAGAATTAAACGTTGGAAGATCTCGGATTTAGAATCAGACATTGGCTTGGCTCAACGTTGATTGATGTCGGAGATATCATAAACTTTATACACCATAGCATCCGCTATGTGCTAATTAATCTTGTTGAATAATAATTTCGATCTTCTTCCTTCCTTTGCATTATTTCTATTCAATCTCCTTCGTAGTAGGATTGAGTTTTTAGGAATTATACAAGCTTTATGTTCTATTCTATTGGTGTGGTACCTAATAATAATAGTCACCATCATCATTGACTCAACTCTTGTAAATGCTAATAAATTGATAGTAAATGACTAGGGTTGATTTTTACTTGATGGCTGACTCCTATGGTTAACAGATGAAATCATTAAAAAAAAAACATAACCATGAAAAAGATGAACCCTATTTTCTCCCAAAAAAAAGAAAAGAAAAAGAAAAAGATGAATCCTATGGCTAAGAAGCAATGGAGAACCTCCCTCCCTCTGGTTAACTCAACTTTCTCCATCAACTTTGCACATTTTATTGGACAATTTAACGTTGCAGAACACAAACCAGTGCCAAAGCAGTAAGCAATTGGCAACTAAAAGCAGTTACAATATGTTTAGGAAGATGACTCTCTAAATCCTGAAGGAAAATGAGAGAATCTAGAGTTAATATAATTTTTAAGGGGAATTAAATGCAAACAAATTTAAGGACATATTAGCTTTAGAGAACAAAGTCTAGCACATGAGAATAAGGGAACGGTAAAGACATGAGTATCTTAAAGAAATCAACGAACAATAAAGGTATAGATAAAAAAATTACTGTGCCTTAGGGAAAAAAATTAACTACTTGAAACTTGATAATCTAAAGAAAAAAACTTAAAGAATTACTCACAGAATAGAATTGCTTGATAACTTATCTGGTATAAAATTATCCTTCAACAATATTTCCTTTTCAATGACTGAAAATTTTTACTGAGCTTCTCATAGTAGACGGCAAAAATATCCTCGAAGGAATCTGAATCTATTCTCTGGTCTATATATCATTACTACCAGTAATCTGAACATGAACAAGTCCCCCCTCTGAAGTGATGAAACCTGTAAGGATCCCTGAGCACTAATTCTCGATCTACAGCTCTACTAACCAATTTGTACGCTAGATGACAGTCCCCACAAACTCGAAGATTCTTGAAAACCCTAATCGTCGCTCCTTCTGGAGCCTCTATCAGCCCATAAGCAAGAGCGAGCTTCTCACTGTGATTCCACAGATTATGCTCAATCTGCTCTTCATCAGTATCGTGCAAAGATAATGATGTATCAGGAACATAACCGAGTTCCTTAACCATTTGCAAGATTTCCTCCAATTTTGCCTGAATCTCTTTAGCTTGTGGGTGAGTCCAATCCCCAATTCCAAAAGAACTAACCTTATTCTTCAGCTTAATCCAACTGCAAGCAGGTTTCTTTGTCAAATCAATAGACTTCATGTGAGTTCTTAGCTTATTGACATCCTCCCACATTCCATTAAGTGCATATGCATTTGAGAGGAGAACATAGGCTGAATCATCTGAAGGGGCTAGCTCAAGAAGACAATGAGCAGCCCTCTTTCCAATATCGAGATTCTTCTGAGTTCTGCTTGAAGATAATAAGCTACGAAAGATAAAATCATTTGGTGACACTGGCATCTCTTCTATGAACTTCTCTGCCTCGATTAGCCTCCCTGCTCGACCGAGAAGATCAACCATACAAACACAGTGTTCAATTCTTGGGGCAATACCAAAATCCGAAGACATAGTTTTATAGTACTCAAGACCTTTATCTACTAAACCTCCATGACTACATGCAGAGAGGAGAGAAACAAAGGTAACATAATCTGGTTTCGGTCCTATACAGAGCATTTCCTTGAAAGTATCTTCGGCGTTCTGATAAAGCCCATGTCGGGCATAACTTGATATCAGAATATTCCATGATAATCGTGAACGTTTGCTTGGTTCAGGAAGTAATTTCAGCACATCATCCATTTTTCCACATTTGCTATACATGTCCATTGCAGCATTTGTTACATTAAGGTCCAAATCAAACCCTTGCTTAGTGATCAGACAATGAAGCTGCTGTCCCTCCTCAAGTGCAGGCAAGCCTGCAGCAGCAGCAAAAGCTCCCGACAGGTTGAACCGATCTAGGTCAACTCCAGCATGATGGATTTCAAGAAAGTGCTTCAATGCTTCCTCTCCTCGGCCATGGTGAGCTTTCGAAGAAATCATAGCATTCCAAGAAACCACAGTTTTGCTTTCTAATCCATCAAATATAAACCCACTTGAATCAAAATCGCCACATTTTGCATACATAGAAATCAGGGAGTTCTTTACAAACTCATCTGAATCAAACCCCATAGTGATAATATGAGAATGGAGTGGCATTCCATACTTCATTAGATCCTTTGTAGCTGAGCAAATACCAAGAACGTTCACCATGGTAATGTAATTTGCCCTTATTCCAGCTTCTCTCATCAAGACAAATGCCTGCATTGCTTTTAGTTTCTCTTCATTCTCTACATGCCCTCCAATAAGCGTGTTCCATGAGATCAAATCGCGCCTTGGAATCACTAGAAACACACATTTGGCTTCATTCATTGCATTGCATTTGCTATACATGGTTATTAAAGAATTACCCAGCAGTAAGTTACCAGGGAGGTTATTGTGGACAATAAGAGCATGGACTGCTTTTCCCTCTAATAGGGCATCAGGATTAGAACATGCACTCAATGCATTAGCAAATGTCACATAATTTGGTTCTTTATTTGCTCGAAGCAGCTGAGCAAAGAGCTTCAAAGCATCAGTGTCATTTCCACTCTGAATGTAGGAAGACATCATGGTATTGAATGAGATCAAATCCCTTTCAGGCATCTCATAAAACACAATCTCGGAATCTTCAGATTTTCCCAGCACAGAGTACATATTGATAAGAGTATTGCAAACCGATATAAATGAACCAAGACCGCTGCTGATAGCAAAAGCATGTAACCCCTGTCCCCATTTCAAATGATCCACATTGTTGCATGCAGATATCAAACAACATAGAGTGGTATAATCTTCTTTGAAGTTATAGCTTCGCATTTTAGCAAAGCAACATAATGATTCTTCGCACATTCCCTCGTGAGAATACACTGTTATCATCGAATTCCATGATATCGTGTCCTTGCCCTTAATTTGATTAAACAGATGCTCAGCAATATCTACCTTTCCCAATTTTCCAAACAGAGTGATGAGCGAGTTTGCAACAGAGACCTCATCTTTGAATCCGGAAACTATTACATGTGCAAGAATCTCAAGGCTTAACTTCTCGTTCTCTACCATCCCACACGAGCTAATCACTGTCGCAAACGAATTCTGATTGCAAGCAACCCCTTCTTTCCTCATCTCGTGATAAGCCCTTATCGCTTCTTCCGGAAGCCCATTCGATGAGTAACTCACCATCAAAGCAGTCCAAGAAACAACATTTCTCTCAGGCATCTCCTCGAAAAATCTCCGTGCATTATCAACAAACCCACATTTACCATACAAATGAACTAACGCAGTGCCAACATAAACATCTCGCATCAACCCAAGTTTTAAAACCAACCCGTGAACTTCAAAACCGTGCCCAACCACTGAACCCCACCTGTTACAAGCAGTCACAATGCTAGCGAGCACGAACCCATTTGCCCCGAAACCCTGTTCTCTCATCTCTCTAAACAAGTCCATCCCTTCGCTTGCCAAACCAGCTCTAAAAGCGCCAGAAATGGCAGCGTTCCAAGTAGCAGCATTTCTGATCGGCATTTGATCGAACACGTTGAGTGCAGCTTCTGGTCTACCGAATTTGAAGTACGCGCCGATGAGGGTGTTATATTGGAAGATGCCAAAGCTGATGAAATGGCGTACTGAGAGGCAATGGATTGCTTTTACGGCAATCGAGCTGGTGATTTCCGAGAAGCCCTTTTGAGGGAAGCAAGAGATTTCGGGGTTTGGGTGGTTGGCGAGGATGTGGAGGGGGGTGGGGGTGGGTTCTGAGATGCATGATGAGAGAGTGGAGAGTGTTTGAAGAGAGAGGAGAGGAGGAGATGAGGAGAAAATTGTGGGTTTGAGTTTGGTTGAGAGTACGTTCTTTCTGAAGCGAGCCAGTTTCTTTTACTTTCTACAGCGACGAAAAGCGCGCGGAGAAGCTGCTACTTGAAAAATAAAAATAAAATTTTAGCAAGCATTTTGATTTAATATTTCTCAATTGCGAGATGTATGCAAGTAAATACATTCCCATACGAGTTAATGTAAAATACAATATTATTTTATTTATTTATTTGATTAAAATCATATTATATTTTAATCGATATTTTGGTAACTACAAATAAATGAATTGAAACCGAGTTTCATATACCAAGTCAAACTACTTTCTGATTTTTTTTCTTTCTTCGCAAAATTTTATTTACCCTCGTCATCCATTGCTCATTGTATTATTTCTTATAAGTTCTTCATTTCTTTTATATAGTTTGGCATGAAGCAATTTCAACAATTTTAGGACTAATTTAAAATTAATATAAAGGTTAAATGAGTAATACAGAAAAGTCCCAGAAATTAAATTCTAGTGCCAAAGTTTTTGGAATGCGTCAGCGGTAAAAAAAAATTCTGTTAATGAAAGGCAATATATTGATGAAAAAGAAGAAGATATATATTTAATGGTCTTTCAGATAATTTTGCAGAGATCAACCATACACGATCCATTTATTCCAATATAAGGGATTAATTTAGATATTTCATTTTTAAAGAAATCTAACTCATAATCATCATAAATTTAGAGATTAATACATACATTTTCATATTCTTACTACCAATAGATTACATTTTGTGATTCAATTGACATTATTTATTCCCACTCGGGCTAGTCGCCATGGTTTTATGTCGTATCCCAAGAAAGCATTATTTATATATGATATTATGCATATAAGTACCTATTATTAAAATTATATCCATCATCGTCAAACCGGATAAACTGGGCTACAATATAGCACTAAATTGGGCCGGCCCTTTCAAGTTAAAAACCCAGCCCAGTTCTGTTGGCGGTCAATTTATAACGAGCACAAAAGAAAAGCAAGCAAGAGAGTTCTAGAAATAACCGGAATACTATCGAATAATCCTCCACCGTCCAGTTACCCCATCTCCAGCCGATCCAACGGCCTCAATTTCCCCAACCCGAACTTTCCAGACATCAAACAGTCGTATAAATACACAGCGAAACCCCCTCCCCCTCTTCACTCGACAAAAGCCAAATCAAAGAGAAACCGCTCTCCGGGAGAAAAAAAAAACACCTCAAAAGCTCGGATTTCTTTGCCTTTTCGATCGAAACCCTAACCCTAGATTTCGTGTCCGATGGCGGGAAAGGGCGAGGGGCCGGCGATCGGCATCGATCTTGGGACGACGTACTCGTGCGTGGGGGTGTGGCAGCACGATCGGGTGGAGATCATCGCCAATGACCAGGGGAACAGGACGACGCCGTCCTACGTGGCGTTCACCGACACCGAGAGGCTGATCGGCGACGCGGCGAAGAACCAGGTCGCCATGAACCCCACCAACACCGTTTTCGGTGAGTTAATTTGTATTTTCTTGGATTTTTTTTCCGATGAAGTTGTTTGTTGTGGGGATGAACAGGATATATTTTGTCCTTTGATTAGATTTAGGATGCATAACAATTGAGTTTGAGAGAGGATTAGTTTTTTTTTTCAGTTTTGGATAGTTCTTGCAAAATATATTTGGTTGTTATCTGGATTTATAATTAGTAACTAATGATTCACAAAATAAATGGATTGAAGTAAATTGAAATTAACACCAGTTGTAAATCTTTTTGGTTAATTTTTTCTGATTCTATTATTTTTTAAGAGAATTGTCCTAATTAGTATTAAATTCTATGGAGATAGTCAGTAGCTAATAATTCGATAATACTAAAAAAGGAAAATACAAGATAAAAAGGAAGTCGGAGTAAACTGATTTTCGTTGGGCTTCAGTGTGAATTCAATGAAATCATTCTTGATTATGGCGAATTATTAGCTAAAACTGAAGCCCAACGGTCGGTAACTAATAATTCCCACGGTCCTAATTAGTATTAACCTTCAAGCTTGATTATGCCACTGGGATTTGATTTTCACGATGAAATGTTGGTGCGTTATTGGGAATTTTTCCATTATTCGATTTAAATTTTTTTGGTGCGTTATTTAGGATGTTAACCGTTAGAAAATAATTCAGCAAATAGTGCATAAAATTTATTTGAAGGGGAAAAAAAATTTCTTCACTGATGCGATCTAGCATTAACTATCAAAATAATCCAAACTTGGCTAGTTATTGGATGAATTGGCTCGAAATTCAATGAAATCATTCTTGGGGCTCAATAATCATCTTTCAATGACCGTGGGAATTATATTTGAGTTCTGAGCCATTTTAGTTCGAACAGTACCTGACAGTGTGAATTGTAACCCTCTGCAGATGCGAAGCGCTTGATTGGCCGGCGCTTCAGCGACCCATCAGTGCAGGGAGACATGAAGCTCTGGCCGTTCAAGGTCATCCCTGGCCCCGGCGACAAGCCCATGATTGTCGTAAACTACAAAGGTGAAGAGAAGCAGTTTGCCGCTGAGGAAATCTCCTCCATGGTGCTCATCAAGATGCGTGAGATCGCTGAGGCCTACCTCGGCACCTCCATCAAGAATGCGGTCGTCACTGTCCCTGCCTACTTCAATGACTCCCAGCGCCAGGCCACCAAGGATGCTGGGGTCATTGCGGGCCTCAACGTCATGCGCATCATTAACGAGCCGACTGCGGCAGCTATCGCCTATGGTCTTGACAAGAAGGCCAGCAGTGCCGGTGAGAAGAACGTGCTCATCTTTGACCTTGGTGGTGGCACTTTTGATGTCTCTCTGTTGACAATCGAGGAGGGGATCTTTGAGGTGAAGGCCACAGCGGGAGACACTCACCTTGGAGGGGAGGACTTTGATAATAGGATGGTGAACCATTTTGTTCAGGAGTTTAAGAGGAAGAACAAGAAGGACATTACAGGCAATCCGAGGGCGTTGAGGAGGCTGAGGACTGCTTGTGAGAGAGCAAAGAGGACTTTGTCTTCGACTGCTCAGACAACAATTGAGATTGATTCTTTATATGAGGGTGTTGATTTCTACACGACCATTACTCGAGCGAGGTTTGAGGAGCTGTGTATGGATTTGTTTAGAAAGTGTATGGAGCCGGTGGAGAAGTGCCTGAGGGATGCGAAGATGGACAAGAGCGGTGTCCATGATGTTGTGCTCGTCGGAGGATCAACCAGAATCCCCAAAGTACAGCAGCTTCTGCAGGACTTCTTCAACGGGAAGGAGCTCTGCAAGAGCATTAACCCTGATGAGGCTGTAGCCTATGGCGCTGCTGTCCAAGCTGCCATTTTGAGCGGCGAAGGCAACGAGAGGGTGCAAGACTTGCTGCTGTTGGATGTTACTCCGCTCTCACTTGGTCTGGAGACTGCTGGCGGTGTCATGACTGTATTGATCCCGAGGAACACCACAATCCCGACAAAGAAGGAGCAGGTATTCTCTACATACTCTGATAACCAGCCTGGGGTCTTGATTCAGGTGTATGAAGGCGAGAGGACGAGGACCAAGGACAACAATCTCCTCGGCAAATTCGAGCTCTCCGGCATCCCTCCGGCCCCGAGGGGTGTTCCTCAGATCAACGTCTGCTTCGATATCGACGCCAACGGTATCCTCAATGTCTCTGCTGAGGATAAGACCACCGGTCAGAAGAACAAGATCACAATCACCAATGACAAGGGTAGATTGAGCAAGGAGGAGATTGAGAAGATGGTGCAGGAGGCGGAGAGGTACAAGGCAGAGGACGAGGAGCACAAGAAGAAGGTGGAGGCGAAGAATGCCCTGGAGAACTATGCCTACAACATGAGGAACACGATCAAGGACGAGAAGATCGCGTCGAAGCTTCCCGCAGCTGACAAGAAGAAGATCGAGGATGCGATTGAGGCGG